ATATATACGGCCCTAACAATGACCACCCAACTTTCTTCCATAATATCTTTGCAGCACTACAAGATCAATCAAATATCATCCTCGCTGGAGACTTCAACACTGTACTTAACTCAACACTGGACCGCTCAAGCTCACCTGGTAACCCAAAACACACACACTCATCTGAAATAATTCAACAGTATATGGAGCAGTACGGACTTTGTGACAGCTGGAGAATGAGGAACCCGACAAACTCAGGGTATACCTACTATTCTCCTCATCATAAATCATCTTCAAGACTGGACTTCTTCCTCATAAGCAACTGGCTCACTCAACACACCACAGAAAAGTCAATACATGCTATAGTAATTAGCCACCACTCCCCTGTCCCACTAACAATCTCTACACAGACAAAAACTAACAAATACTCAAGATGGCGTCTTAACACGTCTCTCCCGGAGGACACAGAGTTCACAGCACTGATACGGAGAGAGTGGGCATACTTTCTTGGGACGAACCACTCTCTAGAAATCTCACCATCACTGCTTTGGGAGACCGGAAAAACAGTGCTTGGAATAAGTAAGTAAGTAGTAGTAAGTAATCTTTATTTATAAACCGCCTTTTCACTGCACATCAGAGTCTCAAAGCGGTTTACAATTGTTATTTTTGGGAGTGGGGCCAGTACAGGAGGCACATGCCAGAACTATTGTACATATTTTTAGTGGTAGGGGAAACCGGAGCACCCGGAGGACACCTACGCAGACACGGGGAGAACATGCAAACTCCACTCAGAAAGGCCCTGGTCCAACCGGGATTCGAACCCAGGACCTTCTTGCTGAGAGGCGAGAGTGCTATCCACTCAGCCACCGTGCCGCCCGAAAAGCTCAGTGCTGCATAAAGGACCTTAAAACGTGGATGACTCTTAACTTCCTACTTCTCAACCCGGAGAAGACAGAAGTGATCCTACTCGGTCCGAAGCGCCTGCGTGACTCCCTCACTAACCAGATAATCACTCTGATAATGTCAGTATTATACCCAGTAACACTGTGAGGAATCTTGGAGTCATTTTTGACCAAGAACTCTCCTTCAAGGCTTATATAAGCCAAGCAACTAAAACGGCGTACTTCCACTTACGGAACATCGCTAAAATTAGGAATTTCCTTCCTAAAAGTGACGCGGAAAAACGTATTCACGCGTTTGTCACCTCAAGGCTCGACTACTGTAACGCTTTACTGGCAGCGTGCCCTAAAGCCTCTTTGAAGAGCTTCCAGCTCGTTCAGAATACAGCAGCTATGATCTTAACAGGTACCAAAAGGAGGGAGCACATAACTCCAGTGTTAAAATCACTCCACTGGCTCCCTGTGGAGTACAGAATAAAGTTTAAAATCCTTCTCTTAACATATAAAGCCATAAATGGCTTGGCTCCTTCTTATCTCCAAGACACGTTAGTGTCGTATCAACCAAGTCGAGCGTTGCGCTCACAAAACGCCAGACGTCTGGTGGTCCCTAAGGTCTCAAAGGTCACTGTTGGTGGCAGAGCATTTAGCTCCAAGCTCCTTTACTGTGGAATCAGCTTCATTTATGTCAAGGAAGCAGATACGGTCTCCACATTCAAGGCCAGGCTTAAAGCACTTTACTTTAATTTAGCATATAATTAGGTAATATATAATATATGGTGTATATATTATATATATATGCTGTATTATGTTATATATTATGTTATATATTATACAATAATGTATTGTGTTATGTTGTATATTATGTTATATATTATGCTGTATGTTATGTTGTGTATTATAAATGATGTATATGGTATGTATGGTATATGTGATATATATGATATATAATATATAATTAGGTTTGCTTGGATCGGTTTGGCACACCTGGTGTGCAATCCATGAATCTCTTTATTCAAGGCTAGGTTTAAAACAGTCCTCTTTAGTTTAGCATATGGTAGAGAGACCAGAGAGAGACCAGAGAGAGAGACCAGAGAGAGAGACCAGAGAGAGAGACCAGAGAGAGAGACCAGAGAGAGAGACCAGAGAGAGAGACCAGAGAGAGAGACCAGTGAGAGAGAGATCAGAGAGAGACCAGAGAGAGACCAGAGAGAGAGACCAGAGAGAGAGACGAGAGAGAGACCAGAGAGAGAGACCAGAGAGAGAGACCAGAGAGAGACCAAGAGAGAGACCAGAGAGAGACCAAGAGAGAGACCAGAGAGAGACCAAAGAGACCAGAGAGACCAGGAAGAGGCCAGAGAGAGACCAGAGAGACCAGAGAGAGACCAGAGAGAGAGACCAGAGAGAGACTAGAGAGGGACCAGAGAGAGAGACCAGAGAGAGACCAAAGAGAGACCAGAGAGAGACCAGAGAGAGACCAGAGAGAGACCAGAGAGAGACCAGAGAGAGACCAGAGAGAGAGACCAGAGAGGGACCAGAGAGAGACCAGACTAGACCAATGTCTAAATATCATCAGAGAGAGAGAACCAGAGTGAGACCAGAGAGAGACCAGAGGAGAGACCAGAGAGAGAGACCAGAGAGAGAGACCAGAGAGAGAGAGAGAGAGACCAGAGAGAGAGACCAGAGAGAGACCAGAAGAGACCAGAGAGAGACCAGAGAGAGACCAGAGACAGAGCAGAGAGAGACCAGAGTGAGACCAGAGAGAGAGACCAGAGAGAGAGACCAGAGAGAGAGACCAGAGAGAGACCAGAGAGAGACCAGAGAGAGACCAGAGAGAGACCAGAGAGAGAGACCAGAGAGAGACCAAAGAGAGACCAGAGAGAGACCAGAGAGAGACCAGAGAGAGACCAGAGAGAGACCAGAGAGAGACCAGAGAGAGAGACCAGAGAGAGACCAAAGAGAGACCAGAGAGAGACCAGAGAGAGACCAGAGAGAGACCAGAGAGAGAGACCAGAGAGAGAGACCAGAGACAGAGCAGAGAGAGACCAGAGAGAGACCAGACAGAGACCAGAGTGAGACCAGAGAGAGACCAGAGAGAGAGACCAGAGAGAGAGACCAGAGAGAGACCAGAGAGAGACCAGACAGAGACCAGAGTGAGACCAGAGAGAGTGAGACCAGAGAGAGTGACCAGAGAGAGACCAGAGAGAGAGACCAGAGACAGAGCAGAGAGAGACCAGAGAGAGACCAGAGAGAGACCAGAGAGAGAGACCAGAGAGAGTGAGACCAGAGAGAGACCAGAGAGAGAGCAGAGAGAGACCAGAGAGAGACCAGAGAGAGACCAGACAGAGACCAGACAGAGACCAGAGTGAGACCAGAGAGAGTGAGACCAGAGAGAGAGACCAGAGAGAGAGACCAGAGAGAGAGACCAGAGAGAGACCAGAGAGAGACCAGAGAGAGAGACCAGAGAGAGAGACCAGAGAGAGAGACCAGAGAGAGAGACCAGAGAGAGACGAGAGAGAGACCAGAGAGAGACCAGAGAGAGACCAGAGAGAGACCAGAGAGAGAGACCAAAGAGAGACCAGAGACCGAGAGAGAGACCAGAGAGAGAGACCAGAGAGAGAGACCAGAGAGAGAGACCAGAGAGAGAGACCAGAGGGAGAGACCAGAGAGAGAGAGACCAGAGAGAGACCAGAGAGAGGCCAGAGAGAGAGGCCAGAGAGAGAGGCCAGAGAGAGAGACCAGAGAGAGAGACCAGAGAGAAAGAGACCAGAGAGAGAGACCAGAGAGAGAGACCAAAGAGAGACCAGAGAGAGAGAGACCAAAGAGAGAGACCAGAGAGAGAGAGACCAGAGAGAGACCAGAGAGAGAGGCCAGAGAGAGAGACCAGAGAGAGAGACCAGAGAGAGACCAGAGAGAAAGAGACCAGAGAGAGAGACCAGAGAGAGAGACCAAAGAGAGACCAGAGAGAGAGACCAGAGAGAGAGACCAGAGAGAGACCAGAGAGAGAGACCAAAGAGAGAGACCAGAGAGAGAGACCAGAGAGAGAGACCAGAGAGAGAGACCAGAGAGAGAGAGACCAGAGAGAGAGACCAGAGAGAGACCAGAGAGAGAGACCAGAGAGAGGCCAGAGAGAGACCAGAGAGAGACCAGAGAGAGACCAGAGAGAGACCAGAGAGAGAGACCAGAGAAAGAGCAGAGAGAGACCAGAGAGAGAGGCCAGAGAGAGAGACCAGAGAGAGACCAGAGAGAGAGACCAGAGAGAGACCAGAGAGACCAGAGAGAGAGAGACCAGAGAGAGAGACCAGAGAGAGACCAGAGAGAGACCAGAGAGAGACCAGAGAGAGACCAGAGAGAGACCAGAGAGAGAGACCAGAGAGAGGCCAGAGAGAGAGACCAGAGAGAGAGACCAGGGAGAGGCCAGAGAGAGAGACCAGAGAGAGAGACCAGAGAGAGACCAGAGAGAGACCAGAGAGAGCCAGAGGAGAGACCAGAGAGAGAGACCAGAGAGAGAGACCAGAGAGAGACCAGAGAGAGAGACCAGAGAGAGACCAGAGAGAGACCAGAGAGAGACCAGAGAGAGACCAGAGAGAGACCAGAGAGAGACCAGAGAGAGAGACCAGAGAGAGGCCAGAGAGAGACCAGAGAGAGACCAGAGAGAGATACCAGAGAGAGAGACTAGAGAGAGACCAGAGAGAGACCAGAGAGACCAGGGAGAGACCAGAGAGAGACCAGAGAGAGAGACCAGAGAGAGACCAGAGAGAGACCAGAGAGAGACCAGAGAGAGAGACCAGAGAGAGACCATAGAGAGACCAGAGAGAGACCAGAGAGAGACCAGAGAGAGAGACCAGAGAGAGACCAGAGAGAGACCAGAGAGAGAGACCAGAGAGAGACCAGAGAGAGACCAGAGAGAGACCAGAGACAGAGCAGAGAGAGACCAGAGAGAGAGACCAGAGAGAGAGAGACCAGAGAGAGACCAGAGAGAGAGACCAGAGAGAGACCAGAGAGAGACCAGAGAGAGACCAGAGAGAGACCAGAGGGAGACCAGAGAGAGACCAGAGAGAGACCAGAGGGAGACCAGAGAGGGACCAGAGAGAGACCAGAGAACTAACATGGCTGTTTTCCTGGATGTTCAGAGAGTTCTCCAAAGAGCGAGAGAAGGCGAAGGCTCGCGGAGACTTCCAGAAGCTGCGGGAAAAGCAGCAACTGGAGGAAGACCTGAAGGGATACCTGGACTGGATCACACAGGCTGAGGACATCGACCCAGAAGGGGAGGAGGAGGGGGAGGAGGCGGGCAAGAGGAGCAGTGAGTCCTCATGTTGATACACAAACAGACACACACACACCTGGCAAGAGGAGCAGTGAGTCCTCATGTTGATACACAAACAGACACACACACACCTGCAAGTTTGGTCACGTATATTCTGCTTAAGATATTATTTCACATGGTTTTTAACACGATAAACCAAAGTCAACAGAAAATCCAAAGCTGTGGCTGTATTCTGCAGCTGTGTCTATCAAACCTTTGTAAAACAGGCTTCTGTGAGCTAGCAGTTAGCATTGTCCATCTGTATACAGCTATTCTTTGAGCTAGCAGTTAGCATTGTCTATCTGTATACAGCTAATCTGTGAGCTAGCAGTTAGCATTGTCCATCTGTATACAGCTAATCTTTGAGCTAACAGTTAGCATTGTCTATCTGTATACAGCTAATCTGTGAGCTAGCAGTTAGCATTGTCCATCTGTATACAGCTAATCTTTGAGCTAGCAGTTAGCATTGTCTATCTGTATACAGCTAATCTTTGAGCTAGCAGTTAGCATTGTCTATCTGTATACAGCTAATCTTTGAGCTAGCAGTTAGCATTGTCCATCTGTATACAGCTATTCTTTGAGCTAGCCGTTAGCATTGTCCATCTGTATACAGCTAATCTTTGAGCTAGCCGTTAGCATTGTCCAGCTGTATATAGTCTGGTTCTTAACTCATTGAGTGCCACAAACTTAATTTTACGCACAGTGCCCCCATGCGATGAGTGCCAGAAACGTAATTTGTAATAATTACGTAATTTTCGACACACATTGTGTGTACATTTGGGAATGCCATCCATTTTCTACCCTTTAATCCATTTCTGGGTCAGGGGGGTGGCAGTCAGAGATGCCACCCAAGTCTCATAGCACCAGCCCCTCACTGACCCTCTGCAGGTGGTGAGTCCACAGGAGGACGGCTGCTCTCTGACTGTGAGCATAGCCTTGATCTTTCAGTGGGAGCTTTGGGCAAAGTGGGGTTAAGTGTCTTGCCCAAGGACACAATGACAGCAGTCATCAGTGGGAGTCGGTGGAGAAGGTGCAGAGGTGGGAATTGAACCCACGACCTTCTGGCCTTAAGGCCAATGCTCTACCAACTGAGCTACTGTCGCCCCGAATGCTATCCAATCCAATCCAATCCAATCCAGTTTATTTATAAAGCACTAATAAAAACAACATGGTTGACCAAAGTGCTGTACATAAAAAGACATACACAAATATACATTTAAGAAATACAAAACAGTGGCAAAAAAAAAACACTATTTACAGCAAAAAATCAATTGAAATCAATTAAAAGCCAATGAGAACAAGTGTGTCTTAAGACGAGACTTAAAAACAGGAAGTGACTCAGACAGTCTCACACACAGGAAGTGACTCAGACAGTCTCACACACAGGAAGTGACTCAGACAGTCTCACACACAGGAAGTGACTCAGACAGTCTCACACACAGGAAGTGACTCAGACAGTCTCACACACAGGAAGTGACTCAGACAGTCTCACACACAGGAAGTCACTCAGACAGTCTCACACACAGGAAGTCACTCAGACAGTCTCACACACAGGAAGTCACTCAGACAGTCTCACACACAGGGGCAGCTCATTCCATAGTTTAGGACCAACAACCGAAAAAGCTCGATCTCCTGAGTTTCCGTTTAGTCGGAGGAACCCAGAGCAGAGCCTGATCTGCCGACCTAAGCGAACGTGATGGAGCACAGGACGTCAATAGGTCAGACAGATAGCGCGGAGCAAGGCCATTCAGGCATTTATAGACAAACAGAAGGACTTTAAAATCAATCCGGTAGCGAACAGGAAGCCAATGAAGTGATGACAGGAGAGATATGGTCAAACTTCCGAGTTCCTGTTAACAGACGCGCCGCAGCGTTCTGTACCAGCTGCAGACGAGCAAGTGAGGCTATGATAAATTTAACTGCTTATATGCCGATCTAAAACTCATTAAACATTTCAACATGTGTTATTTATTGTTCATAACATGCTTTGAGGCAAAGCGGCATCACTGGTCCATGTCAAAGTCAAAAAAGATATTTACGTGGGTTTGTCACTAGGTGGCAGTCTTCATTCATCCTTTAGCGGAAACCTCAGTGATGCAGTGTTTCGCTGCTGACGGAGATTAGAAAAAAGAATCAAAACAAGTCTGTGCGCACCCGCCAGACACGCGTGATGAGCACAACGCCAGACACGCGTGATGAGCACCCGCCAGACACGCGTGATGAGCACCCGCCAGACACGCGTGATGAGCACCCGCCAGACACGCGTGATGAGCACCCGCCAGACACGCGTGATGAGCACCCGCCAGACACGCGTGATGAGCACCCGCCAGACACGCGTGATGAGCACCCGCCAGACACGCGTGATGAGCACAACGCCAGACACGCGTGATGAGCACCCGCCAGACACGCGTGATGAGCACACCGCCAGACACGCGTGATGAGCACCCGCCAGACACGCGTGATGAGCACCCGCCAGACACGCGTGATGAGCACCCGCCAGACACGCGTGATGAGCACCCGCCAGACACGCGTGATGAGCACCCGCCAGACACGCGTGATGAGCACCCGCCAGACACGCGTGATGAGCACCCGCCAGACACGCGTGATGAGCACCCGCCAGACACGCGTGATGAGCACCCGCCAGACACGCGTGATGAGCACCCGCCAGACACGCGTGATGAGCACAACGCCAGACACGCGTGATGAGCACCCGCCAGACACGCGTGATGAGCACCCGCCAGACACGCGTGATGAGCACCCGCCAGACACGCGTGATGAGCACCCGCCAGACACGCGTGATGAGCACCCGCCAGACACGCGTGATGAGCACCCGCCAGACACGCGTGATGAGCACCCGCCAGACACGCGTGATGAGCACCCGCCAGACACGCGTGATGAGCACCCGCCAGACACGCGTGATGAGCACCCGCCAGACACGCGTGATGAGCACAACGCCAGACACGCGTGATGAGCACAACGCCAGACACGCGTGATGAGCACAACGCCAGACACGCGTGATGAGCACAACGCCAGACACGCGTGATGAGCACCCGCCAGACACGCGTGATGAGCACCCGCCAGACACGCGTGATGAGCACCCGCCAGACACGCGTGATGAGCACCCGCCAGACACGCGTGATGAGCACCCGCCAGACACGCGTGATGAGCACCGCCAGACACGCGTGATGACACCCGCCAGACACGCGTGATGAGCACCCGCCAGACACGCGTGATGAGCACCCGCCAGACACGCGTGATGAGCACCCGCCAGACACGCGTGATGAGCACCCGCCAGACACGCGTGATGAGCACCCGCCAGACACACGCGTGATGAGCACCCGCCAGACACGCGTGATGAGCACCCGCCAGACACGCGTGATGAGCACCCGCCAGACACGCGTGATGAGCACCCGCCAGACACGCGTGATGAGCACCCGCCAGACACGCGTGATGAGCACCCGCCAGACACGCGTGATGAGCACCCGCCAGACACACGCGTGATGAGCGCTTTTTACATCCAAGAAGTGAGTCAGCTTCAGGGACTCGTGCAGAGGACGAAGGTGCTCAGAGGGAGTTGCTCTCAAGCCCCGGCGATCCAAGATGGCGTCGTATTCAAATGAATGGTTGTGCTCAGTGGCGCTTTGTGACGGCATGGGGGCTGAAAGATTAGCGGAAGTCGCCTGAAACTCTCAAAGATCTATGGGAAACTCTCAAAGGTCTATGGGAAACTCTCAAAGGTCTATGGGAAACTCTCAAAGGTCTATGGGAAACTCTCAAAGGTCTATGGGAAACTCTCCTGTATTTGGGCATCGTCTGGTCCTCCCGGTTTTGTGCAGTGGATGATTTCCCATAATGCGTTGCGCCAAACACGCGTGTGTGGGTCTCACACCGGGTCTCACGCACGTGCACAGAGGGTCTCACGCACGTGCACAGAGGGGCTCGGCTCTGACCAATCAGAGCAGTTCATCAGAGCGGGAGTTAGAGCGAGAGCCAGACGAGCAGAGTTTGTGGCACTAAAGTGTGGATTTAAACAAAACCGAAGGATTTAAGAAGAAAAAAAGTTCAGGACGACAAGGGACACTAACATCCCCACAAAATCTGACCTTTATGAAAGCTGTAGGTTCTCTGTCAGGTTCTCTGTCACGTTCTCTGTCAGGTTCTCTGTCAGGTTCTCTGTCAGGTTCTCTGTCAGGTTCTCTGTCAGGTTCTCTGTCAGGTTCTCCATCAGCTGAGGTTGAGCTGTTTTAATATGCATTGAGTTCTATGGGGAAAATGTCTGGGTAGCCCACGTGAATTTAGTCTGGTTCAGTCTGGTTCAGTCTGGTTCAGTCTGGTTCAGTCTGGTTCAGTCTGGTTCAGTCTGGTTCAGTCTGCAGTACCACGAGAATCCCCCGAGGACATGAGTTATTCAGCTACAAGCTGTAATACCCTATCCAGTTATTATAATAGATCCATGGTTGCTCTCTTCTTCTTCTTCTTGGGTTTTTCGGCGGTTGGCGACCAATTTACTGCCACCTTCTGTTCCGTAGGATGGGTCAGTAGGCTCACACTCTAACCACCAAGGGAAAGGGAGGTGCTCTGTAGGAAGGTGAAGGGAGGTGCTCAGAAGGAGGTGCTCAGGCTGAATGATCAGCACGGGCTGGTCCGAGCGGAATAGTGAGAGATAGGGACCAACCAGGACCAACCGAGTCACGCGTGTTCCTGCCTCTGTCTGTGAACAAGCGGAGGAGGATCTTTTTCTGTTTGTATCATATTGCCACACATAAACATGTGTTTTCTAATTGTACATTCGCATTGTTGTTGTTGTTGTTGCCATAAATCTTCATATGGATCAAATTTCATAGTTCATAGTGAAGGTATTCATATAGATTGAATTATTCCTTTTTAAATGCGTTTTTTGTAGCCTACCCCACGCCTTTAAGATATATCTATCTTATAACTGTCCATGGACCCAGAAATGTAAGTGTCAGAAGAACTACAGAAGAACTACACCCTTTCTTGGAAATTCACAGGGATTTTCATGAACGTTTCGATCTTTTGCTGAGGATATCTCAGGGGTAAAAGCTGGTAGAAACAGAAGGTTTTCACCATCTGAAAGTTCAAAGCCTCACCTTTCAAACGCAGTATAGCATGTGTTTATGACAGTAACACAGAATATGCTGTGGCTCTGCAAATATCAGGAAAAATGGACATAATCGCTGGCCCAAGCTGCTGAAACAAGGCCTGACTCAGTTAAGAAGAAGGACTTTTATTTGTTTTAGGGATATCAGATTAATGAATACACACAGAACCACACAGAACCACACACAGAACCACACACAGAACCACACAGAACCACACAGAACCACACACAGAAACACACAGAAACACACAGAACCACACAGAAACACAGAACCACACAGAACCACACACAGAACCACACAGAAACACACAGAACCACACAGAAACACAGAAACACACAGAACCACACAGAAACACAGAAACACACAGAACCACACAGAAACACAGAAACACACAGAAACACACAGAAACACAGAAACACACAGAACCACACAGAACCACACACAGAACCACACAGAAACACACAGAACCACACAGAAACACAGAAACACACAGAACCACACAGAACCACACAGAAACACAGAAACACACAGAACCACACAGAACCACACAGAACCACACAGAAACACACAGAACCACACAGAACCACACAGAACCACACAGATCAAGGCATGCAGCAAACATTATTTTTGCGCTCCTTAAAGGAAAAGTAGGTCAAGTGTCTTGCCCAAGGACACAACGACAGCAGACATCAGTGGGAGACGGTGGAGAAGGTCTCACAGTGGACTCGAACCCACGACCTTCAGGCTCAGGCCGATGCTGAACCACCTGAGCCACTGCTCAGTCCTTCTCTTCTACACAGACTCTCTGTGATAAACTCTGGTCCAGCGAAGCCTCAGCAGATCCCAGGGTTTGGCCTCAGTGGCCTCCACAAGATACAGGTCCATCTGAGGGAAGAAAACAGTACATACTGTATATATATACTTCTGTCTCAGTATACATACCTCTGTCTCAGTATACATACCTCTGTCTCAGTATACAGACCTCTGTCTCAGTATACAGACCTCTGTCTCAGTATATACATACCTCTGTCTCAGTATATACAGACCTCTGTCTCAGTATATACATACCTCTGTCTCAGTATATACATACCTCTGTCTCAGTATATACATACCTCTGTCTCAGTATATACAGACCTCTGTCTCAGTATATACATACCTCTGTCTCAGTATATACATACCTCTGTCTCAGTATATACAGACCTCTGTCTCAGTATATACATACCTCTGTCTCAGTATATACATACCTCTGTCTCAGTATATACATACCTCTGTCTCAGTATACATACAGACCTCTGTCTCAGTATATACATACCTCTGTCTCAGTATACAGACCTCTGTCTCAGTATATACATACCTCTGTCTCAGTATACAGACCTCTGTCTCAGTATACATACCTCTGTCTCAGTATACATACCTCTGTCTCAGTATACATACAGACCTCTGTCTCAGTATACAGACCTCTGTCTCAGTATACATACCTCTGTCTCAGTATACAGACCTCTGTCTCAGTATATACATACCTCTGTCTCAGTATATACAGACCTCTGTCTCAGTATATACATACCTCTGTCTCAGTATATACATACCTCTGTCTCAGTATATACATACCTCTGTCTCAGTATATACAGACCTCTGTCTCAGTATATACATACCTCTGTCTCAGTATATACATACCTCTGTCTCAGTATATACATACCTCTGTCTCAGTATACATACAGACCTCTGTCTCAGTATATACATACCTCTGTCTCAGTATATACATACCTCTGTCTCAGTATACAGACCTCTGTCTCAGTATACATACCTCTGTCTCAGTATACAGACCTCTGTCTCAGTATATGCAATACCTCTGTCTCAGTATATACATACCTCTGTCTCAGTATATACATACCTCTGTCTCAGTATACAGACCTCTGTCTCAGTATATACATACCTCTGTCTCAGTATACAGACCTCTGTCTCAGTATACATACCTCTGTCTCAGTATACATACCTCTGTCTCAGTATACATACAGACCTCTGTCTCAGTATACAGACCTCTGTCTCAGTATACATACCTCTGTCTCAGTATACAGACCTCTGTCTCAGTATACATACCTCTGTCTCAGTATACATACAGACCTCTGTCTCAGTATACATACAGACCTCAGTCTACATATTGCCCTGACCTGCCTCTGCAGCTGTTCCATAACCACTGGGTCTCTTGGATCAGACGTTGTCCACAGCTGCAGCTTTATCCAGTGTTTCTTGACTAGAACAATAAAGTTGAAATATGTTTTAGTATGTACAGTATGTTTTAGTATGTTTTAGTATGTACAGTATGTTTTAGTATGTTTTAGTATATACAGTATGTTTTAGTATGTACAGTATGTTTTAGTATGTACAGTATGTTTTAGTATGTTTTAGTATGTACAGTATGTTTTAGTATGTACAGTATGTTTTAGTATGTACAGTATGTTTTAGTATGTTTTAGTATGTACAGTATGTTTTAGTATGTTTTAGTATGTACAGTATGTTTTAGTATGTACAGTATGTTTTAGTATGTACAGTATGTACTAGTATGTTTTAGTATGTTTTAGTATGTGCAGTATGTTTTAGTATGTACTAGTATGTTTTAGTATGTTTTAGTATGTACAGTATGTACTAGTATGTACTAGTATGTTTTAGTATGTACTAGTATGTTTTAGTATGTTTTAGTATGTTTTAGTATGTACTAGTATGTTTTAGTATGTTTTAGTATGTACAGTATGTTTTAGTATGTACAGTATGTTTTAGTATGTTTTAGTATGTACAGTATGTTTTAGTATGTACAGTATGTTTTAGTATGTTTTAGTATGTACAGTATGTTTTAGTATGTACTAGTATGTTTTAGTATGTTTTAGTATGCACAATATGTTTTAGTATGTACTAGTATGTTTTAGTATGTACAGTATGTTTTAGTATGTACAGTATGTTTTAGTATGTACAGTATGTTTTAGTATATTTTAGTATGTTTTAGTATGTACAGTATGTTTTAGTATGTTTTAGTATGTACAGTATGTTTTAGTATGTTTTAGTATGTACAGTATGTTTTAGTATGTTTTAGTATGTACAGTATGTTTTAGTATGTTTTAGTATGTACAGTATGTTTTAGTATGTTTTAGTATGTACAGTATGTTTTAGTATGTTTTAGTATAGTATGTTTTAGTATGTTTTAGTATGTACAGTATGTTTTAGTATGTTTTAGTTGTTTTAGTATGTTTTAGTATGTTTTAGTATGTTTTGTTTTAGTATGTACAGTAGTTTACACACAGGGTGAAGCCACTTCTGGTCCATTGAATATCTCGGTTCAAATGATAATGAGGCGATAAAGTCTTGTCCTGAGCCTGTGCAGAAGTCTCCATCCCCCAGTTCTCAACAGTCTGTTTCCCTTTAACACCTATGACAGTTTGGAGTCTTTAGAGGGTTTCTCTCTCTCTCTCTCTCTCTCAACTGTAGTGTGTGTAGTCTCTCTCTCTCTCTCTCAGCTGTAGTGTGTGTAGTCTCTCTCTCTCTCTCAGTTGTAGTGTGTGTAGTCTCTCTCTCTCTCTCAGTTGTAGTGTGTGTAGTCTCTCTCTCTCAGCTGTAGTGTAGTTGTGTAGTCTCTCTCTCTCTCTCTCAGTTGTAGTGTGTGTAGTCTCTCTCTCTCAGCTGTAGTGTGTGTAGTCTCTCTCTCTCTCTCAGTTGTAGTGTGTGTAGTCTCTCTCTCTCTCTCTCTCTCTCTCTCAGCTGTAGTGTGTGTAGTCTCTCTCTCTCTCTCTCTCTCAGCTGTAGTGTGTGTAGTCGCTCTCTCTCTCTCAGCTGTAGTGTGTGTAGTCTCTCTCTCTCTCTCTCTCTCTCTCTCTCTCAGCTGTAGTGTGTGTAGTCTCTCTCTCTCTCTCTCAGCTGTAGTGTGTGTAGTCGCTCTCTCTCTCTCTCAGCTGTAGTGTGTGTAGTCTCTCTCTCTCTCTCTCTCTGTAGCTGTAGTGTGTGTAGTCTCAGTGTGTGTAGTCTCTCTCTCTCTCTCTCTCAGCTGTAGTGTGTGTAGTCTCTCTCCTCTCTCTCTCTCAGCTGTAGTGTGTGTAGTCTCTCTCTCTCTTTCTCTCAGCTGTAGTGTGTGTAGTCTCTCTCTCTCTTTCTCTCAGCTGTAGTGTGTGTAGTCTCTCTCTCTTTCTCTCAGCTGTAGTGTGTGTAGTCTCTCTCTCTCTCTCTCTCTCAGCTGTAGTGTGTGTAGTCTCTCTCTCTCTTTCTCTCAGCTGTAGTGTGTGTAGTCTCTCTCTCTCTTTCTCTCAGCTGTAGTGTGTGTAGTCTCTCTCTCTCTCTCAGCTGTAGTGTGTGTAGTCTCTCTCTCTCTCTCAGCTGTAGTGTGTGTAGTCTCTCTCTCTCTCAGCTGTAGTGTGTGTAGTCTCTCTCTCTCAGCTGTAGTGTGTGTAGTCTCTCTCTCTCAGCTGTAGTGTGTGTAGTCTCTCTCTCTCTCTCAGCTGTTGTGTGTGTCTTCTCTCAGTTGTGTGTTTGCTACACACCTGGCCAGCTGTGACACACAAAGGCCTTCCTGAAGTCACAGTTCCAGTCCTCCCACATCCCGTTGTACCCAAAGTGTGCGGCCACACAGTACTCGTGCGCCGCCATGTTGTTGGGCTCCACCAGGTCCCGGGTTTTCCAGTAGGAGAAAGAGGAGCGAGTCCCGTCCAACCAGCTCCAGGAGGCTCTGTGGAGGCCGATCCAGGCCAGGCCAGAGGGGACCAGGGCCTGGAGCTGAGAGTTCTGAGCTGCACTCGTCACACTGGCCAGGTCTGTGTGGTTCTGCCTGCAGTACTGCTGCGCCTCCTCCCAGCTGAAGGAGGCGCTGCTGCGCACCAGGGTCTCTGTGGCTCCTGCAGCACGGACATGAGTACTAAATATTATTATTACAATTACAATTATTGATTTATTATGGACACTTATTTCACCTGGAAAACCCATGTCTGCCATTCAAACCACGTGGATACCCAAATATTAGCAGAAATAACGCATTTCTCCTCCGGTCAGTGTTTACGGTACTTCCTCAGGTGGAGGTGAACATGTCTGACTGTAGAGGGCAGCACTGTGTTTAAGTGTTTAGGAGACGCCACCCTGCAGAGCAGAGCGAGATGAGAACGAGCTGAGTTTGTGGAACTATAGAAACGGTGACGGCGTCTCTCCAGCTGCAGACGTGCCACACGGCTGTGAAGTCCTGTTCTTGTTCCCTGTCTTCTCCATAAACCCCTCGCTTACATGTCTCTGTAAACCTGTCCAAACTCCCTATTTCCACCTAAAATGGACCAAAGTGGATTTTTTGACTGGCGTTTGATTTTTGTTAAGGGTTCCCACAACTGGATTTATTAAAAGTTCAAGATGTTAAAAAACACTCAAATCTGCTGAACTCCATACAAGAGTGTTGTATGGGACAGGCTGCAGTACCGCGGGTGGCCACTTGTCCACTTCGGATAATCTGAGATTTCAGAATCTCTTTTTTTTTTTTTTTTTTTTTTTTTTTTTTTTTATTTTTTTTTTCATAAATCCTCCTTATTTTTTTCCCTCTTTTTTTTTACAAATCCTCATTTTTTGCTCTTTTTTTTTTTTTTTTTTTCACTCTTTTTTCCATCTTTTTTTTTTTTTTTTGATATTTTTTTATCTTCCCAAACCGCCTCAGAATCCCCATCTCTCTTTTTTTTATTTTATTTTTTATTTTATTTCTTTTTTTTTTTTTTTTTTTTTTTTTTTTTTTTTTTTTTTTTTTTTCCTCCCATCCTCTTTTTTTTTTTTTTTTTTTTTTATTTTTTTTTTAATCAAATCACCTCCCTTTTTTTTTTTTTTGGGGGGGGGGGGGGGGGGGGGGGAACCTTTACAGTACATTCACAACAAAAATCACCGATAATACAACCGGGGGGGGCGGGGACCTATACAGAACGTAAACATTAAAATTACAAAAGGGGGAATAATAAAATATGAGATATATAATATATAGGGTGCCAGGAATGTGGGGGATTTGCAGGGGTAGGGGGAACAAAAAACAATTAACATGTGTGTGGGGGGTATATATTGAGGTTAAATTAAATAAGTAAACTAATAATGGGGGGTACAATAAAAAATGGGAAATAAATATAATAGGGGGGGGGGGGGGGGTAATTATAAATTATAGGGGGGATTATTAGGTAAAATGGAGATAAATAAAAATATTAAATAAAAATAATATGATCAGGTAAAATTAAAAATAAGAAATAAATAATATAAGGTTATGTAAGGGGGGGGGGGGGGGTGGTTGTTTGTTGATTTTTTTGGTATTGTTTGGGGGGGGGGGGGGGGGGTGGGATGTATGATTGATATTAATAAAGAGTAGTTGATTTGTATTGTGTGGGATGTGGTATATGTTTTGTGGGGGGGGGGGTTTTGTTTTTTGGTAGTCTGTGTCCCCTGTATCATACAGTCTGGGGTTTGGCTGTAGACAGTATTTTATTAAGCCAGCAGGTGGCAGCAAGAGCTCCCTGGTTTGGTCAAAGATCACTCTGAGCACTCTGAGCAGGAGAGACAGAGGTGAAGCAGACATGGAGTAATATAGTCAGGGTCAAGCTACATTTGGAGGCAGTTTGACCAGTAAATGTGTCTCCAGAACTGACAGAGACCATGTGGAGGGTCAGAGCAGCAGACCATGTGGAGGGTCAGAGCAGCAGACCATGTGGAGGGTCAGAGCAGCAGACCATGTGAAGGGTCAGAGCAGCAGACAGACCATGTGGAGGGTCAGAGCAGCAGACCATGTGGAGGGTCAGAGCAGCAGACCATGTGGAGGGTCAGGGCAGCAGACCATGTGAAGGGTCAGAGCAGCAGACAGACCATGTGGAGGGTCAGAGCAGCAGACCATGTGGAGGGTCAGAGCAGCAGACCATGTATTCTATTGCACTTATAGTATAAGTATATTGTCTGTTCACTTTGATTTATAGTCATTTATAGTGTTTATCATTGTAATATCTTATCTCTGATTTACTCTTATTGATAAATATAGCGCCACCTAATGGATGAATACTGGCCATTCTTTCTACCAAAGTTTGTCATGGGCTTTACTTTCAATATGTACATCTTGACGTTTTTTTGGATGAGTACATTTTGAAATATTCGAGCAACACTTTGTGGATGTGAGTGTGCCATAAAACGTATTATTTTGCATCAAAAACACTTTTACAGAACTTGTTGTTGCTGTTTTCTAACATGTAAGATCCTGGACATGTTTGAGGAGATGCTAAAGCTAAACTAAATAGTTTTACAGTCCTTTTTCTGCAGGTTCGTCTGTTTTCACAAACACCTCATATTCGCAGCTTTTTTGTCTAAGACTGGTGCTTTTTGTCACACTCCTCTTTTCGACTGGAGATCACAGGAGAACGAAACAAGCTAAGAACAAACTTCTTTTTGCTGCTGAAAGTAGACAGTCCTGTCTTTCAGATTCTGGTTTCATATTATTCATAGTCATAGCACACAATATTCTGTGAGTCTTGAAAATCAGTGAAGTCATCAAAAATGTCAATGAGAACCTCTTTTTCAAGGGAGTCCTCTACATTTCACTGAAGATGTCTCAATCTCTCAATCTGGATCTAAAAGCATTCAATGAAATACGATCAGATAATTTCCAGTCTTTTTGCAACACGTTCCATGTAAAGGGAGCAGCAAATACAAAAGCTTCTTTAAGAATGCAACTTTTGCCTTGTTTTTGATGAATACTTAGGCTTACTACGCTACTGTGTAGTGTTGGTCATTTGTGGTGGTACTTGGAGAGGCCAGTATTTTCTGAGGGGGTACTTGGTGTGAAAAGTTTGAGCACCCCTGCTCTATGGTCTCTCTCTGGTCTCTCCCTCTGGTCTCCCTCTGGTCTCTGTCTGGTCTCTCTCCCTCTGGTCTCCCTCTGTTCTCTTTATGGTCTCTCTCTAGTCTCTCTCTGGTCTCTTTCTCTGGTCTCTTGCTGCTCTCTCTATGCTTTCTCTCTGGTCTCTTGCTGCTCTCTCTATGCTTTCTCTCTGGTTTCTCTCTCTGGTCTCTCTCCAGGGACCACAGTACAGGGTCCATAACAGAATGTAGAGTTAGGCCCCAACTCCACCGGCCGTTTCATCTCTGTTTCCGTTTTCTCCATGAGGGTGAATGGAAGTGGTCCCTCGACATGCATCTGTGTGACGTAGGGAGCAGTGCGTCTGTGGGACGTAGGGAGCAGTGTGTCTGTGTGACGTAGGGAGCAGTGTGTCTGTGTGACGTAGGGAGCAGTGTGTCTGTGTGACGTAGGGAGCAGTGCGTCTGTGGGACGTAGGGAGCAGTGTGTCTGGGACGTAGGGAGCAGTGTGTCTGTGTGACGTAGGGAGCAGTGTCTGTGTGACGTAGGGAGCAGTGTGTCTGGGACGTAGGGAGCAGTGTGTCTGGGACGTAGGGAGCAGTGTCTGTGTGACGTAGGGAGCAGTGTCTGTGTGACGTAGGGAGCAGTGTGTCTGTGTGACGTAGGGAGCAGTGTGTCTGTGTGACGTAGGGAGCAGTGTCTGTGTGACGTAGGGAGCAGTGTGTCTGGGACGTAGGGAGCAGTGTCTGTGTGACGTAGGGAGCAGTGTGTCTGTGTGACGTAGGGAGCAGTGTCTGTGTGACGTAGGGAGCAGTGTCTGTGTGACGTAGGGAGCAGTGTCTGTGTGACGTAGGGAGCAGTGTGTCTGGGACGTAGGAAGCAGTGTGTCTGTGTGACGTAGGGAGCAGTGTCTGTGTGACGTAGGGAGCAGTGTGTCTGGGACGTAGGGAGCAGTGTGTCTGTGTGACGTAGGGAGCAGTGTCTGTGTGACGTAGGGAGCAGTGCGTCTGTGGGACGTAGGGAGCAGTGTGTCTGGGACGTAGGGAGCAGTGCGTCTGTGGGACGTAGGGAGCAGTGTGTCTGGGACGTAGGGAGCATGTGTGTCTGGGACGTAGGGAGCAGTGTCTGTGTGACGTAGGGAGCAGTGTCTGTGTGACGTAGGGAGCAGTGTCTGTGTGACGTAGGGAGCAGTGTGTCTGGGACGTAGGGAGCAGTGTGTCTGTGTGACGTAGGGAGCAGTGTCTGTGTGACGTAGGGAGCAGTGTCTGTGTGACGTAGGGAGCAGTGTCTGTGTGACGTAGGGAGCAGTGCGTCTGTGGGACGTAGGGAGCAGTGTGTCTGTGTGACGTAGGGAGCAGTGTGTCTGTGTGACGTAGGGAGCAGTGTCTGTGTGACGTAGGGAGCAGTGTCTGTGTGACGTAGGGAGCAGTGCGTCTGTGGGACGTAGGGAGCAGTGTCTGTGACGTAGGGAGCAGTGCGTCTGTGGGACGTAGGGAGCAGTGTGTCTGGGACGTAGGGAGCAGTGTCTGTGTGAAGTAGGGAGCAGTGTGTCTGTGTGACGTAGGGAGCAGTGTGTCTGTGTGACGTAGGGAGCAGTGCGTCTGTGTGACGTAGGGAGCAGTGTGTCTGTGTGACGTAGGGAGCAGTGTCTCTGGGACGTAGGGAGCAGTGTCTGTGTGACGTAGGGAGCAGTGTGTCTGTGTGACGTAGGGAGCAGTGTGTCTGTGTGACGTAGGGAGCAGTGTCTGTGTGACGTAGGGAGCAGTGTCTGTGACGTAGGGAGCAGTGTCTGTGTGACGTAGGGAGCAGTGTCTGTGTGACGTAGGGAGCAGTGTCTGTGTGACGTAGGGAGCAGTGTCTGTGTGACGTAGGGAGCAGTGTCTGTGTGACGTAGGGAGCAGTGTCTGTGTGACGTAGGGAGCAGTGTCTGTGTGACGTAGGGAGCAGTGTCTGTGTGACGTAGGGAGCAGTGTCTGTGTGACGTAGGGAGCAGTGTGTCTGTGTGACGTAGGGAGCAGTGTGTCTGTGTGACGTAGGGAGCAGTGTCTGTGTGACGTAGGGAGCAGTGTCTGTGTGACGTAGGGAGCAGTGTCTGTGTGACGTAGGGAGCAGTGTCTGTGTGACGTAGGGAGCAGTGTGTCTGTGTGACGTAGGGAGCAGTGTCTGTGTGACGTAGGGAGCAGTGTCTGTGTGACGTAGGGAGCAGTGTCTGTGTGACGTAGGGAGCAGTGTCTGTGTGACGTAGGGAGCAGTGTCTGTGTGACGTAGGGAGCAGTGTCTGTGTGACGTAGGGAGCAGTGTCTGTGACGTAGGGAGCAGTGTCTGTGTGACGTAGGGGGCAGTGTCTGTGTGACGTAGGGAGCAGTGTCTGTGACGTAGGGAGCAGTGTCTGTGTGACGTAGGGAGCAGTGTCTGTGTGACGTAGGGAGCAGTGTGTCTGTGTGACGTAGGGAGCAGTGTCTGTGTGACGTAGGGAGCAGTGTCTGTGTGACGTAGGGAGCAGTGTCTGTGTGACGTAGGGAGCAGTGTCTGTGTGACGTAGGGAGCAGTGTCTGTGTGACGTAGGGAGCAGTGTCTGTGTGACGTAGGGAGCAGTGTCTGTGTGACGTAGGGAGCAGTGCAAAGGAACAATATATTTACTACATTATTATACGTGTTGATATATGCTGTAGTCCTTGGTTTTAAGTGTTTGTTAAAGTGATTGCAGTTTGTCAGAAAGAGAGAGAGAGAGGTACTTGATTTGAAAAAAACGACGCAAGCTCCTCCCCCTTCTTTTCTGATTGGTCAAACCTACGTTTCCGTAACACATTTAAATGTTAATCAGAGAACACATTATACATATACATTATTAATACACATGCACATTATTAATACACATGCACGTTTTCATGAAAAAAATAATGTTTTTATGCACAAAAAAGCGATCGCGGCAAACCAGGAAGAAGCTAATTGCACATTTTAGGAACATCTGCAGAGGATCTGATTATGGATATATCAGGATATAGGTTCAGTATATAAATGATTATGGATATAGGTTCATATATAAATGATTATGGATATAGGTTCATATATAAATGATTATGGATATAGGTTCAGTATATAAATGATTATGGATATAGGTTCATATATAAATGATTATGGATATAGGTTCAGTATATAAATGATTATGGATATAGGTTCAGTATATATAAATGATTATGGATATAGGTTCAGTATATAAATGATTATGGATATAGGTTCAGTATATAAATGATTATGGATATAGGTTCAGTATATAAATGATTATGGATATAGGTTCATATATAAATGATTATGGATATAGGGTCAGTATATAAATGATTATGGATATAGGTTCATATATATAAATGATTATGGATATAGGTTCATATATAAATGATTATGGATATAGGTTCATATATAAATGATTATGGATATAGGTTCAGTATATAAATGATTATGGATATAGGTTCAGTATATAAATGATTATGGATATAGGTTCAGTATATAAATGATTATGGATATAGGTTCAGTATATAAATGATTATGGATATAGGTTCAGTATATAAATGATTATGGATATAGGTTCATATATAAATGATTATGGATATAGGTTCAGTATATAAATGATTATGGATATAGGTTCAGTATATAAATGATTATGGATATAGGTTCAGTATATAAATGATTATGGATATAGGTTCAGTATATAAATGATTATGGATATAGGTTCAGTATATAAATGATTATGGATATAGGTTCAGTATATAAATGATTATGGATATAGGTTCAGTATATAAATGATTATGGATATAGGTTCAGTATATAAATGATTATGGATATAGGTTCAGTATATAAATGATTATGGATATAGGTTCAGTATATAAATGATTATGGATATAGGTTCAGTATATAAATGATTATGGATATAGGTTCATATATAAATGATTATGGATATAGGTTCATATATAAATGATTATGGATATAGGTTCATATATAAATGATTATGGATATAGGTTCAGTATATAAATGATTATGGATATAGGTTCATATATAAATGATTATGGATATAAGTTCATATATAAATGATTATGGATATAGGTTCATATATAAATGATTATGGATATAGGTTCAGTATATAAATGATTATGGATATAGGTTCAGTATATAAATGATTATGGATATAGGTTCATATATAAATGATTATGGATATAGGTTCAGTATATAAATGATTATGGATATAGATTCAGTATATAAATGATTATGGATATAGGTTCAGTATATAAATGATTATGGATATAGGTTCAGTATATAAATGATTATGGATATAGGTTCAGTATATAAATGATTATGGATATAGGTTCAGTATATAAATGATTATGGATATAGGTTCAGTATATAAATGATTATGGATATAGGTTCAGTATATAAATGATTATGGATATAGGTTCAGTATATAAATGATTATGGATATAGGGTCAGTATATAAATGATTATGGATATAGGTTCAGTATATAAATGATTATGGATATAGGTTCAGTATATAAATGATTATGGATATAGGTTCAGTATATAAATGATTATGGATATAGGTTCATATATAAATGATTATGGATATAGGTTCAGTATATAAATGATTATGGATATAGGTTCATATATAAATGATTATGGATATAGGTTCATATATAAATGATTATGGATATAGGGTCAGTATATAAATGATTATGGATATAGGTTCAGTATATTAATGATTATGGATATAGGTTCAGTATAATAAATGATTATGGATATAGGTTCAGTATATAAATGATTATGGATATAGGTTCATATATAAATGATTATGGATATAGGTTCATATATAAATGATTATGGATATAGGTTCAGTATATAAATGATTATGGATATAGGTTCAGTATATAAATGATTATGGATATAGGTTCATATATAAATGATTATGGATATAGGTTCATATATAAATGATTATGGATATAGGGTCAGTATATAAATGATTATGGATATAGGTTCAGTATATAAATGATTATGGATATAGGTTCAGTATATAAATGATTATGGATATAGGTTCAGTATATAAATGATTATGGATATAGGTTCAGTATATAAATGATTATGGATATAGGGTCAGTATATAAATGATTATGGATATAGGTTCAGTATATAAATGATTATGGATATAGGTTCAGTATATAAATGATTATGGATATAGGTTCATATATAATAGAGGCTTGATTCGGAGGCTCCGCTAAAACAAACAACTGAGCATGAGCAGCTACGAGCATCAGCTCCGATGATTGACAGCCCTTGGCATGACTCGATTGGTTAACCTCGACGGCACCGTGGATTCTGAGCTATAGCTAAGAGAAGGGAAGGTGGGACTTGCCCGTAATATTAGAATTAATAAAATGACATATTTTATATCAACATTTAAGGCCAGGAGGTCAATTTAACACATTTCCTAAAATTTGGAATTCATTTAGAGTTACACACTATCACTTTAATGACAATGATTGTTAACAAATGTGTGTCATTTTGCTTCATGTATTGAATTGAAATAATTGTTTCCTGATCGTAAATTTGCTGTTTATTGCGTAATTGACTCTCAAGTTCTATTCTCTCTCCACCCCTTGAATTTGCTTTCAATAAGCTTTGCCTCATCCATCGCGAAGTCCTCGCACAGATCTAAGCCACAGCTCGTACACACACCGCTTCTTTTATTTGAATGGTCTGAAGTTAAAACAAAGCCCTAAACATGGGCAGCTTTGCTGATAAACGTGTAACGCTAGCAGGCTAGGGCGCTGACTGCAATGTGTAACTCAGAACTACAAACGCACAGCCAGAGCTGCTGAAGCCGGTGCTCAGTGTGAATGAGGCTCAGGGTCTGTGTTTTGCTCAGTGTGAATGTGGCTCAGGGCTGTGTTTTGCTCAGTGTGAATGAGGCTCAGGGCCTGTGTTTTGCTCAGTGTGAATTGGCTCAGGGCTGTGTTTTGCTCAGTGTGAATGAGGCTCAGGACTTGTGTTTTGCTCAGTGTGAATGTGGCTCAGGGCTGTGTTTTGCTCAGTGTGAATGTGGCTCAGGGCCTCTGTTTTGCTCAGTGTGAATGAGGCTCAGGGCCTGTGTTTTGCTCAGTGTGAATGAGGCCCAGGGCCTGTGTTTTGCTCAGTGTGAAAGACGCTCAGGGCTTGTGTTTTGCTTAGTGTGAATGGGGCTCAGGGCTTGTGTTTTGCTCAGTGTGAATGAGGCTCAGGGCTTGTGTTTTGCTCAGTGTGAATGGGGCTCAGAGCTTGTGTTTTGCTCAGTGTGAATGAGGCTCAGGGCTTGTGTTTTGCTCAGTGTGAATGAGGCTCAGGGCTGTGTTTTGCTCAGTGTGAATGAGGCTCAGGGCTGTGTTTTGCTCAGTGTGAATGAGGCTCAGGGCCTGTGTTTTGCTCAGTGTGAATGACGCTGGGGGCTTGTGTTTCAGGGACGTTCGTGAAGAAGGACTGCTCTGAGTTCCGCAGCACCTCCTGTGAACCATGTCCTGATGGTACGTACCAGGAAGAGCCGACCGGGCGGGGACAGTGTCAGCGCTGCCGCATGTGTGCTGCAGGTGAGAGAAACAATCACCCTCATCAGAACGGACCATGTGAAGGCTCCAGACCAGAGGTGTCTGTATTCAGCTGTTCTGGGCTTTAAAAAAAATACATAAATCTCATGAAAATTCTATAATCCAGACGGGCAAATGTACTCCCTCCATAAACTTTGGGCCATCCTTAATATTTTTGTAATTTACAGAACATATCTATCTCTTCGGCAGCACGGTGGCTGAGTGGTTAGCCCCTTCACTTCCTGGGTCCTGGGTTTAAATCCTGGTCTTTCTGAGTGGAGTTTGCATGTTCTCCCCGTGACTGAAAACTGGTCTTTCACTCTCTAGTCTCTCTCTCTCTCTGGTCTCTCTCTGGTCTCCCTCTGGTCTCCCTCAGGTCTCACTTTGGTCTCCCTCAGGTCTCCCTTTGGTCTCTCTCAGGTCTCCCTCTGGTCTCTCCCTCTGGTCTCTCCCTCTGGTCTCTCCCTCTGGTCTCTCCCTCTGGTCTCTCCCTCTGGTCTCCCTCTGGTCTCCCTCTGGTCTCTCCCGCTGGTCTCTCACTCTGGTCTCTCCCTCTGGTCTCTCTCTCTGGTCTCTCCCTCTGGTCTCTCCCTCTGGTCTCCCTCTGGTCTCTCCCTCTGGTCTCTCCCTCTGGTCTCTCCCTCTGGTCTCTCCCTCTGGTCTCTCCCTCTGGTCTCTCCCTCTGGTCTCCCTCTGGTCTCCCTCTGGTCTCTCTGGTCTCTCACTCTGGTCTCTCCCTCTGGTCTCTCCCGCTGGTCTCTCACTCTGGTCTCTCCCTCTGGTCTCCCTCTGGTCTCAGTTGTGTGTTTGTGGTCAGGGTCTGGTCTGAAGGTGAAGGCCCCGTGCTCCAGAACCTCTAACACTGTGTGTGAAGCAGACGAGGGACACTTCTGTCTGGGGCCCCTGGAGGACTTCAGCTGTGGGGCCTCACAGAGACACAGGCGCTGTCTGCCAGGAGAGTATATAAGGAAACCAGGTCAGACACACACTCACACACACATACACTCACACACATAGAGACACACACAGACACATACACTCACACACACACAGACACACACAGACACACACACACACACACACACAAGCTGCGTTTCCATTGAGCATCAAATTTCGAAATTTGAATTTGCGCATCATAAAATGTCTAATGGAAACGCGCAAATTTCGAATAAACCACAGTTTTTGATAAAAAGTTAATGCGCTTAAAATCGGTGGTTTTTTGGACGTATCGAAATTAAGTTTTTCGCAAAACGGCAATGGAAACACTTATTTCGATATAGCGGAGGAAGCCAGGTGTTTATAAACCCAAAACATACATCTCTGATCATCAGCTGATCGTCCACAACAGCCTGCAGGGTAATTGACGGCCACCCTTTCCTGTTAACGTAATCTCTGTAGCCATCCTTCGGGGCACGAATAGGGATGTGTGATCCATCTATTGCTCCATAGATTTGTGGCAAGCCCTGCGCTGCATAATTACGCATGGCAATTTCTTTTGCCTCATTCACATCTGGCAATGCGATGTATTTCTTCATTAGTTTTGTACATAACGCCTTACACACCCCATAAACACACCGATGGACTGTGGTCTTGCTCACTCCAAATGTCTCAGCCACTACTCTATACTCCGCGCAAGTAGCCAGTTTATAGATAGCAATGGCAATGCTCTGTGGGAACTGCCTCTCTAGGGCAGTGTGCAGCGGGAGCCACAAGCGCTCCCACCGCTTCGCACAGCTCCTCAAATGTTGTGCGCGTCATTCTGAAGTTTTGGATCCATAGTTCCTCTGTGAAATCATGTACCACGACTTCCCAAAAGGTTCTCATCCGCTTCCTCTCCCAAGTATACGGAGATCGCCGCTCCATTACACTCAGAAGGAGATGCCGCCGACGCTTAATCCGGTTAAGGATGAGAGCCGCAGCAGAAGTGAAGACATTAATATATCTCACGTAAATCAAAGTGTTGTTTACTTCTGTTGCCATGTTGACGTACTAGAAACTAGTGAATAAACGCGCGAAAATAGTGTATACTTATTCGAATATGTCTTAATGGAAACGGCCGCTTTTGCGAATTACAGGTTTTTCGAATTTTGAAATGTATCGAAAAAGTTTTTGCGCATTATTCAATGGAAACGCAGCTATAGACACATTTTCCATTCTTCAAGTCTCTAGAGTCAAGGGATTTGAAATACTGCTGAATTTGTCTGTTGTGTGTACTTGTATCAGTACCTATGTGTACCTGTCTCAGTACCTGAGATACACACATGCATGCATACATACATACATACATACATACACACATACACACATGCATGCATACATACATACATACATACACACATACACACATACACACATGCATACATACATACACACATACACACACACATACATACATACATGCATACATACATACATACATGCATACATACATACATGCATGCATGCATGCATACACACATGCATGCATACATGCATACATACATACACACATACACACACACATACATACATACATACATACATACATACATACATACATACATACATACATGCATACATGCATACATACACACATACACACATACACACATGCATGCATACACACATGCATGCAGGCATGCATACACGCATGCATGCATGCATACATACATACATACATACATACATACATACATGCATGCATGCATGCATGCATGCATGCATGCATGCATACATACATACATACATACATACATACATACATACATACATACATACATACATACATACATACATACATACATACATACATACATACATGCATGCATACATACATACATACATGCATACATACATGCATACATACATGCATACATACATACATACATACATACATACATACATACATACATACATACATACATGCATACATACATACATACATACATACATACATACATACATACATACATACATACATACATACATACATAGCCTTGCGAAAAGCCCCCTTGAACCTTTCGCCACATTTCAGGCTTCAAACATAAAGATATAAAAATTAAATTTTTGGTCAAGAATCAACAACAAGTGGGACACAATCGTGAAGAGGAACACATTTTATTGGATAATTTAAACTTTTTTAACAAATAAAAAACTGAAAAGTGGGGCGTGCAATATTATTCGGCCCCTTGCGCTAATACTTTGTAGCGCCACCTTTTGCTGCAATTACAGCTGCAAGTCGCTTGGGGTATGTCTCTATCAGTTTTGCACATCAAGAGACTGGAATTCTTTCCCATTCTTCCTTGAAAAACAGCTGGAGCTCAGTGAGGTTGGATGGAGAGCGTGTGTGAACAGCAGTCTTCAGCTCTTTCCACAGATTCTCGATTGGATTCAGGTCTGGACTTTAACTTGGCCATTCTAACACCTGGATACGTCTATTTGTGAACCATTCCATTGTAGATTTGGCTTTATGTTTTGGATCATTGTCCTGTTGGAAGATAAATCTCCGTCCCAGTCTCAGGTCTTTTGCAGATTCCAACAGGTTTTCTTCCAGAATGGTCCTGTATTTGGCTCCATCCATCTTCCCATCAATTTTAGCCATCTTCCCTGTCCCTGCTGAAGAAAAGCAGGCCCAAAGCATGATGCTGCCACCACCATGTTTGACAGTGGGGATGGTGTGTTCAGGGTGATGAGCTGTGTTGCTTTTACGCCAAACATATCGTTTTGCATTGTGGCCAAAGTTTGATTTTGGTTTCATCTGACCAGAGCACCTTCTTCCACATGTTTGGTGTGTCTCCCAGGTGGCTTGTGGCAAACTTTAAACAAGACTTTTTATGGATATCTTTGAGAAATGGCTTTCTTCTTGCCACTCTTCCATAAAGGCCAGATTTGTGCAGTGCACGACTGATTGTTGTCCTATGGACAGACTCTCCCACCTCAGCTGTAGTTATCTGCATTTCATCCAGAGTGATCATGGGCCTCTTGGCTGCATCTTTGATCAGTCTTCTCCTTGTTTGAGATGAAAGTTTGGAGGGACGGCCGGGTCTTGGTAGATCGCTAGATAGATAGCTTGGGAAATCTTTTTGTATCCAAATCCGGCTTTAAACTTCTCCACAACAGTATCTCGGACCTGCCTGGTGTGTTCCTTTGTCTTCATGGTTCTCTCTGCGCTTTAAACAGAACCCTGAGACTATCAAAGAGCAGGTGCATTTATACGGAGACTTGATTACACACAGGTGCATTCTATTTATCATCATCAGTCATTTAACATTGGATCATTCAAAGATCCTCACTGAACTTCTGGACTGAGTTTGCTGCACTGAAAGTAAAGGGGCCAAATAATATTGCACGCCCAACTTTTCAGTTTTTTATTTGTTAAAAAAGTTTAAATCATCCAATAAATTTTGTTCCACTTCACGATTGTGTCCCACTTGTTGTTAATTCATGACAAAAAATAAAATTTTATATCTTTATGTTTGAAGCCTGAAATGTGGCGAAATGTTGAAAGGTTCAAGGGGGCCGAATACTTTCGCAAGGCACTGTACATACATACACACACACACACACACACACACACACATACACACATATACATACATACACACATATACATACATACATACATACATACATATGTAAGGTTAAATAAGGGACAGGGCCGTAAAACAGAGCCAGGCCCTGTTGTGTAACACACATTCGACCAAAGGAGGAAGACGTCCCACTGCAGCTTCAAAGGAACAGCGAGGTCGGCCGGAGGACTATCATTGATCATAGATTGATCCTCTCTCGTGCATCTGTCTTAGTCAGTGGAGATGGTTTGGACAAAAGAGAAAGATCTGGTTTCACTGGTGTCTGTGTTGATGGTGTCTGTGATGGTTGATGGTCTTTGTGGTGGTGTCTGTGATGGTGTCTGTGTTGATGGTGTCTGTGTTTCAGGTGTGAGCAGTTGGACAAAGTCACCGTCGCAGCAGGAACCTCTGAGTCAGACGCAGAGTGTGGAGAGAAGACCCTGGGACTGGGTCTGGTCCTGGGTCTTGGTCTTGGGATCCCAGTTGCTCTGATCCTACTGGGGGCTACAGCTTTATGTCTTTACTGTAGAAAAACGAAGGCTGTTGTTGGAGCCAGATACAGCAGAGGGCACTCTAACCATGAACAAGACCTTCACCCTGACCCCTGACCCCAGAACCTACCACTGTTCACAGAAGTCCTGGTTCTGGTCTGGTTCGAGACCAGAGAACGTAAAATACCAGAAAGAAACCAGTGGGCGAGACACCAGAGGGCAAGAGAGAGACCAGAGATAAACGCATACAGACAACAGATTGATGGTTTCTATGTCTTCACACATATAAAGTTCAGGTGTTGTACTGGACTCCACTCTTTCATTTACAGCCTTTTTCCACCAACGCAATATCACCCGACTCCGCCCATCTCTCACCCGACTCCACCCATCTCTCACCCAACTCCACCCATCTCTCACCCGACTCCACCCATCTCTCACCCAACTCCACCCATCTCTCACCCAACTCCACCCATCTCTCACCCGACTCTGCCCATCCTATATTTGAATAGGGAAACCCACAAGGACGCACACATCAGTGACGGAGCGGACCATGAGACATGATCTACCATGAGACAGGGTCTACCATGAGGTAGATACAAGTTTACAATAATAAGCTTTTGGTAATGAGCTCTTTACACAGTAATTATTCAACTATGCCTAAACATTATACAAAACATAAAAACCCATCCATCCATCCATTTTCTTCCGCTTCATCCGTTGCCGAGTCGCGGGGGCAGCAGTCTAAGCAGAGACGCCCAGACTTCCCTATCCACACACACTTCCTCCAGCTCGTCCGGGGGGACCCCAAGGCGTTCCCAGGCCAGCTGGGAGACATAGTCCCTCCAGCGTGTCCTGGGTCTTCCCCGGGGCCTCCTCCCGGTGGGACGTGCCCGGAACACCTCCCCAGGGAGGCGTCCAGAAGGCATCCTGAACAGATGCCCGAGCCACCTCAACTGGTTCCTCTCGACGTGGAGGAGCAGCGGCTCTACTCCGAGCTCCTCCCGTGTGACTGAGCTCCTCACCCTATCTCTAAGGGAGCAGCCACTCTGCGGAGGAAGCTCATTTCGACGCTTGTATCCGCGATCTCGTTCTTTCGGTCATTACCCAAAGCTCATGACCATAGGTGAGGGAGGGAACGAAGATTGACCGGTAAATCGAGAGCTTTGCCTTTCGGCTCAGCTCCCTCTTTACCACAACGGTCCGATACAGCTCTGACTGCAGACGCTGCTCCCTCTTTACCACAACGGTCCGATACAGCGACCGCATCACTGCGCACGCTGCACCAATCCGCCTGTCGATCTCACGCTCCATCCTTCCCTCACTCGTGAACAAGACCCCGAGATACTTGAACTCCTCCACTTGAGGAGCTCCCCCGTGGACTGCCACCTTAACGTGGTGGGGGAGTTTGAGCACTCAGATGATCCTGGGAGCTATGTTGTCTGGGGCTTCATGCCCCTGGTAGGGTCTCCCATGGCAGACAGGTCTCAGGTGACGAGTCAGACGAAGAGCAGTCCAAAGCCAACATGGACAGCACTATAAGAGAACAGTGACATCGCCCGGCATGCCGCAGCCGGGGCCCCACCCTGGAGCCAGGCCTGGGGTTGGGGCTCAAAAGCGAGCGCCTGGTGGCTGGGCCTTAGCCCACGGGGCCCGGCCGGGCTCAGCCCGAAAGGACGACGTGGGCAGGCCCTCCTGTGGGCCCACAGAGGGATCTGTGGTGGCACGGTGCAGTGAGGACTGGGCAGCGCACACACAACATCTGGCTCTTGGGACGTGGAACGTCTTCTCAAAACATTAAAACCGTATCCCTACATGCCCTCCACAGTTCACTGTCAAGGGGCCTACCACTGCACTAGGATCATCACCCGAACTAAACAGATCTATCACTGCGGTTCTCACCCAACTCCACTGGCTCTTCATCACCCACAGAATCCAGTTTAAAGTCCTCCTCCTCACATTCAAAGCTGTCCATAACCTGGCCCCGTCATACCTGAGTGACCTGCTCCACCCACACACCTACCACCCATACACCCACCCACACACCTACCACCCACCCACACACCTACCACCCACCCACACACCTACCACCCACCCACACACCTACCACCCACCAACACACCTACCACCCACCCACACACCTACCACCCACCCACACACCTACCACCCACCAACACACCTACCACCCACCCACACACCTACCACCCACCAACACACCTACCACCCACCAACACACCTAACACCCACCCACACACCTAACACCCACCCACACACCTACCACCCACCCACACACCTAACAACCACACACCTACCACCCACCCACACACCTACCACCCACCCACACACCTACCACCCACCCACACACCTACCACCCACCCACACACCTACCACCCACCCACACACCTACACCCGTCCCGCTCTCTCCACTCCTCATCTGCTGCTCGCCTCACTGTCCCCACGATCAGAGTGGTCACGATGGGGTCAGAGCATTCAGCCTCTGTCCCTAAACTCTGGAACACTTAACTCCTTGTTTTGGAAGAGTCATCTGGTCTTCTTAGTAGAATTAAAAGTATTGGGCTCTTCTTTACCAGACAATAAAAGGTTTTGTGATGTTATACCTTTTAGCAGAAGCGACGTCTTCCTCAGATGTTGCTTCTGAGGAAGACGAAGGTTATCTGTCAAAACATGTCAAAGTAATAACACCTCAAAACCTTATATTGTCTAATATAGACAAACCCAATACTTTTAATTTTTTACTTTACTGCTCAACCTGCGACAGTTAAACTCTTTGGACATTTTCAAATAACATCAAAACCTTTTTAAACTGGCTTTTTCTGTGTAATTTTATCATCTTTTATATTCTGCACTTTTAATAATGTGTGTCATGTTTTTTTTAAATATATATATTTTAAGGCGTCCCTGGGTCTGTGAAAGGCGCTGTGACATAAAATGAATTATTCCTACTTATTAACAAAGATCAGACTCAGTATCGACTATTTTTATATCAATCAAAATAAAATCTATAGATACCATTTTTTTCTGTCTGAGTTGTTTTTGAGTCAGATTTTCTAAAACACCAACTATGACTGAACAGAAAACCCTCAAGTGATAATTTCATGTTTGCCACTCGTCTGTTGTGGAAAAGAAGACTGTGGACTGAGGGTTCTGTGAAGCTGTTTATTTAGGTCTGATTTCTCCTCAACACACAACAAAATACAACAATAGACACAATTCAATGTTACAGCTTCTGTGTATCTCAACTTTGAACAGAGAAGCTAGTTTCTTTGTTTTCTCCTCTTACAACCAGTCCCAAATAAATACCAATAAAGAGGAAAAGGGTGCATTAATATAGATATTCTTCTGTGGTCAGAATACTCCAGTGAAAGTTAAAAGGTCTCCATATTTCCTCTCAGATGTGCTGCTGCTCACTTATTTTAACCACTTCAGTGTTTGATTTGAGGCAGTTTTCGGGCCTCCTGAGCCTTCAGTGTCTCAGTCTGTAGTGAGATGATTATATTATTATTATTGTATCTTTGTCCAGTCTGTTCAAAAGACACGAGTCAGAGAAACATTCAGGCTTTTACTCATTTCATCCATAACTTCTGTCCAAAAATGTAGTAATACAGAAAGAAACACATGAACCACATGACCCGGGGCTGATCGTCTCCAGCATTGGGCTGAATGATGCTCTGGACGTGTTCACAGGAGTCCAGCACAGACTGACATCAGAGGATCCCTCATCTGCGGGAAAAGTGGACCCTACATCTGTCTCTAATCCTATCAGGTCCTTTCTGTGTCTGTGACCGGTACTTACAGTCTGTGACCGGTACTTACAGTCTGTGACCGGTACTTACAGTCTGTGACCGGTACTCACAGTCTGTGACCGGTACTTACAGTCTGTGACCGGTACTTACAGTCTGTGACCGGTACTTACAGTCTGTGACCGGTACTTACAGTCTGTGACCGGTACTTACAGTCTGTGACTGGTACTTACAGTCTGTGACCGGTACTTACAGTCTGTGACCGGTACTTACAGTCTGTGGCCGGTACTTACAGTCCGTGACCGGTACTTACAGTCCGTGACCGGTACTTACAGTCTGTGACTGGTACTCACAGTCTGTGACTGGTACTCACAGTCTGTGACCGGTACTTACAGTCTGTGACTGGTACTTAAAGTCTGTGACCGGTACTTACAGTCTGTGACCGGTACTTACAGTCTGTGACTGGTACTTACAGTCTGTGACCGGTACTTACAGTCTGTGACCGGTACTTACAGTCTGTGACCGGTACTTACAGTCTGTGACCGGTACTTACAGTCTGTGACTGGTACTCACAGTCTGTGACCGGTACTTACAGTCTGTGACCGGTACTTACAGTCTGTGACCGGTACTTACAGTCTGTGACCGGTACTTACAGTCTGTGACTGGTACTCACAGTCTGTGACCGGTACTTACAGTCTGTGACTGGTACTTACAGTCTGTGACCGGTACTTACAGTCTGTGACCGGTACTTACAGTCTGTGACCGGTACTCACAGTCTGTGACCGGTACTTACAGTCTGTGACCGGTACTTACAGTCTGTGACTGGTACTTACAGTCTGTGACTGGTACTTACAGTCTGTGACCGGTACTCACAGTCTGTGACCGGTACTTACAGTCTGTGACCGGTACTTACAGTCTGTGACTGGTACTCACAGTCTGTGACTGGTACTTACAGTCCGTGACCGGTACTCACAGTCTGTGACCGGTACTTACAGTCTGTGACCGGTACTTACAGTCTGTGACTGGTACTCACAGTCCGTGACCGGTACTTACAGTCCGTGACCGGTACTTACAGTCCGTGACCGGTACTTACAGTCCGTGACCCGGTACTTACAGTCCGTGACCGGTACTTATAGTCCGTGACCGGTACTTACAGTCTGTGACCCGGTACTTACAGTCCGTGACCAGTACTTACAGTCCG